AAAATATGGTTATTTCTATCTTTAATGGTGATTTTTTTAATTCAGGTTGATATTCTACGAGGTAAATTGTCCGGAGATCATCCTAAACTTGAGATAAAATCTGTTGACGGTTTCCAGGGACGTGAAAAGGAGGCTGTGATCCTGACGTTTGTGAGAAGCAACACTAAAGGTACTGTAAATAGATATTGATGGCTAGGTATGAACTACCATGTCTCTCTCATGTAGTTTAAGCCTTAAACTTTAAGGTGCCCTCACACTATAGAGGAAGATCAAGATGATCAAGGCTTGATCCCTCTAGATGTGGAATACAAAAAGGATTTCGCTGTTCTAAACATTTTCCTTTGTACTGTGCAAGTTTTTTTCAGAAACAAACCTTTTGTCTAGATAATAATTTCGGTGCTTTGATTTGTTATAGGGGAAGTGGGGTTTTTGGGTGAAAATAGAAGAATAAACGTTGCCATAACGAGAGCCAGACGCCATGTTGCTGTCGTCTGTGACTCTGAAACTGTCAGCCATGATAAATTTCTCAAGTCTCTGGTAGATTATTTCAATGAAAATGGTGAAGTTTGGTCAGCTCATGAATATTTAGAAGGTAAGATGGAGGTGAATTGCCTTCATTATGTAGTTGTCGAAATTTTGCTTGACAAGAGAAAATTTAAGCTATCTAAATATTAACTTAATAATCTGATAGAGCTCAATTTCAGCTATCTATGTGGCTATCTAAATATTAACTTTACTAGCTGATAGAGCTCAATTTCAGCTATCTATGTGGCTATCTAGATATTAACTTTATAATCTGATAGAGCTCAATTTCAGCTATCTATGTGGCTATCTAGATATTAACTTTATAATCTGATAGAGCTCAATTTCAGCTATCTATGTGGCTATCTAAATATTAACTTTATGATCCGATAGAGCTCAATTTCAGCTATCTATGTGGCTATCTAGATATTAACTTTATAATCTGATAGAGCTCAATTTCAGCTATTTGTAAAGTCATGTAAATATTTACCGTCTGATAGAGCTCAATTTCAGCTATTTGTAAAGTCATTACCGTCTGATAGAGCTCAATTTCAGCTATTTGTAAAGTCATGTAAATATTTACCGTCTGATGGAGCTCAATTTCAGCTATCTATGTGGCTATCTAGATATTAACTTTATAATCTGATAGAGCTCAATTTCAGCTATTTGTAAAGTCATGTAAATATTTACCGCCTGATAAAGCTCAATTTCAGCTATCTATATAGTCATCTAAATGTACTCTTTTTCTGATAAAGCTCAATTTGAGCTATCTTAATATTTGCTTTAGCATCTGAAAGAGCTCAATTTCTCCCTAAATGAATATTTGTTAAGCATCCGATAGAGCTCGATTTCAAGTATCTCAATATTTTTACTTTAGCATCTGAAAGAGCTTGAGTTGGTTTCAGCTTGTTTTAAGCATCTGAAAGAGCTGGAGTTGGTTGTGTGGTGTATAACTGGTTTCAGCCTGTTTATCTATGATTTTTCAGGTGAAATACAACATGTCAGTATCAAACACCAGTCAAAATACTCAGACAATCTAAAACAGCACGACAAGCCAGCTGATAAACAGTAAGTATGAAGAACTTTAGTTAAGTCAGCATTTGCCTGAAGGGGTAAAAAAAATAGGGTTGTGAGCTCTTATCTTAAAAGGCATGCCAAATTTCATGTTTTTTTGCCCAAATTATTTCAGTCTACCTAGTTGTATGTGGGTGGGAATCGTCAGGGAAAAATCAATGCAAATCGGTTTGGTTAAGGACCAGCTGATGAAAACAACTCTCCAATATATATGATTTTTTTTTTTTTTCATTTGATTAAATTTCAAATATTTGATTTGATTTTGTGACAAACTCACTCCTTGGTTTTAAATTCGAATCCAGTATTAGAATGGCTGCTTTGGAAATTGAAAATTTTTTATCTAGAGCTGTCTTATATCAGGTTGACAATTTTTTAGTGAGAAAAAGAATACAGAAGAGGCAGACAAGAAGAAAGAAGAGGATTTCACAAGAAGATTGGAGAAATTTGTCAATGGAAAGAAAGAGTCCATGATTTTTTCATCTAAACTCAATTCTCATGATCGCCTTCTCGTTCATCAGGTAAATCTTTACCAAAAATCCTGGTGTTTTTATTATTTGAATAAAATAAAACTATAGGTAAACAACAGGCAATATTAAGAAAGCACAGGCAAAGGACGTATAAGTTTACAGTTCTAGAAAATAAACAAGATTGTGTGTTAATAAGTAATACTTTCATATTTGTTGTTAAACAGGGTTAAATTTAGATTGAGCAATTTATCACACCAGATAATAGTTTTGGCTAATTTTGATTCGCATTTCAAAAATATTTGGTAGCAATTATAGAGAGAGTTGCGGTATGTTTTTAGATTTTGCTGAAAATTCTCATGAAAATATATATAATTCGAATGGATTTGTAGATCATCGTGATAAATTTTGATTTTGGCTAATCATAGGAATTATTAGAATGCAGAACTGTGCTGCATTACTGCTCAAATTGAATTCTGATACACAAGTCTTAATGAGACATTAGTATATAGTCGTTTAAATATTTTAGCTGATAAAGCTTACAGAGTTTGTCTACAATAGGATCAAGTTAAAATATTTATATTTCAGATTTCTGACAAGTTGGGTCTCCTGCATATCAGTAAGGGTGAGGGTAAGGACAGGTGTATTGAAGTGAGAAAGCCGGGCAGCAGTAACCAATCAGATTCATCCATTCACCAACCAAACAGCCAATCATCTTCAACGATACAAACATCAAGTTATCAATTAACCAATGAAATTGTTCAGGAGGCAGAATCACCGAGTCAAAATGATGTTGCTGTCAACATATCTTGTGGTAAGGAATTGGAAAGTGAAAATTGTAAAAAATTGGGAAAATCTGAAGATCAAAGCAATGTTTCTTCTGCTGAAAATGTTGGTGCATCTGCATTTAGTGAGGGTGCAAAACCAAAATCAAAGATGGCAACCAGCCATGTCACCAGCGTTGACTGCAAATCTGATTCTGAATTTGATCATGTGATAAAACGAAAGCCTAGTGATAAAGTAACATGTTTGTATTGTAAAAAAGAAGTTATTCGGTCAAACATAGAACTCCATGAGCTTCATTGCTATCGTAAAGCGAAACAACAGGAAGTTCAGAAATCGGCAGATGTGAAGAAGAAGGAGAAAGTCCAAGCCCAGAAATCAATTTCTAAAAAAGAAAACGCAAATCATAATCGAACTTGTAAAGCGTTGGAAAAAGTGGATGGTGACGATTTTGATAAAATGTTAGAAACAGTCACAAAACTGGATAAATTTTGTGCATTTAAAAAATGCAAGGAATTGACCTTGACCTTGGGCCAGACATGTAACTTCTGCTCTCAGAGATTTTGCTTCACTCATTTTACTCCTGAGGTACACGGTTGTGGCGACCAGGCAAGATCCTCAGCCAGACGGACAATAGTTCGGGAGGGAGTAATTTATCAGGGAAGTGGAGTTCCGGACAAAAAACCCAACCCTAATAGAAAAAGTCAACTGAAAAAGAAAATGGACAAAAAATTAGACGATTTGTCGACACGTCGTTTACCGAAAAAACCAAATAAGTAATTTCTGTGATGTGTGAATTCTGACAAATAAAATTAATTTAAATTAATGATTTTTATATCTGTTATATAAACCAATACCTTATTCTAGTCCACCCCTAAAGCCATCTTGGATGAGATGTATCCTAGTGCAGTGCTGTCATGTAATTAACCTGTGAATTGTTTTTGTTTGTCCAGGGTTAATGAAGTGCTTTGATGTCCCATTTAGTATCAGCCTGGTGTGGTATTGTGGGCTATGAAGCAAAAATCCTATTATCTTTGCAGTTAGTTAAGTCTTGCATAGTAATGGTTACTTTGAAGCATTGTTTTCTTAGACCAATGATTTCAGGTCCTCTTGATGAATCAATTCTAATACAAAGACCCAAGATCCTCCTTATTTATTGATTCTAATCCAATGACCTCAGAATGTTTACATAAACATCACTGTAGAAGTAGGCATAATACATGTTAGAAGAACTAAATACCAATAGGTGCCCTCACACCATAGTGTGGTTGCAACTAAGTTCTGAACCTCTATTCTTATTCGCAAATGGTTAGGCTATGGTGTGAGGGCCACTTGAGGAAGAATCCAGTGATAATAGGACTGTGCGAGATTTTTGTTTAAGCTATTGTGATCTGGTTTTTAAAGAACAACAAGAGTTGTCCTTTGCTTTTATTAATGAGAGTTACTTCCCTTCTATTGAGGAGAACGAAACAAAAAGTAGGAAATTCTTGTGAACGGATATCATTTTTACAATTTCGTCGCTAAGAAGAACCAAATCAACATTTTCGACTAGTTGCAGATCTGTCATTGTTTTAGAGTTAGACCTCCTGAAATAGTTGTTAGATTCCAAAAGGTAGTATATTTCCACTTATTTTATTGACAGAAAGGGTGTTCAGCTGTTATCACTCTCGCTAACCTGAACTGAAGTGCCTGAAGGTCCAGGGTTCCATTCCGGCATAGCAATAAGAGGTCGAAATAATACCATAGGATTATTCAAACGTGTTTCCCCTCTTTAGTGATGCAGGTCTGCTAGGCTACAGGCTGTGCACATTAAAGATCCCTCGAAAGTTGAGAATGTAAAAAGAGGAGGCTGATGCTGCTGTCCTCATTGCACACTGAATGGCGTTGCCCATCTTCATTAGCCCAGAAGAGAAGGAAGTAAAACTCCATTCAATTCATTTGATTTCAGCTGATATCACTAGATTGACACTGACTAATAACAGTTAGACCCAAACATCAACAGTCTGTTGTCATTTTGGTTCTAGATTACAGGCCTTAAGTTATCTGATTTTCAATATTGTTTTAGAAGGAGAATGTAATGTAATCAAAAAAGGGAAGTCTGAAATTTTGCTGTGAAATTTATATTTAAATAAAGTATTTGATGTGATTCTTTCAGACATGGCCATGGCTAGAGAACAGACGGACAAGATGGATGTGTCCGATGAGGAAAGTGAGTTAATGAACAGCAAGTTTCAATGTAGTATCTGTCTTAATTCCTTCACAAAACCCAAAATTATCGAATGTTTTCATACATTCTGTGAATCTTGTTTGAAAAATTATTTGAATAATTACCAAGGAAAGAATGACTTCCCTTGTCCACTGTGTCGAAAAAGGGTCAAGATCCCCAAAAATGGGGTAAACGGATTCATGACAAATTTTTATTTGGAAGAAAAGAAGGTCAAAGTTCAAGAACCGGTACCTAAGAAACATTTGTGCATTCATCATGATAAGGACCTTGACCTTTACTGCACTGATTGCTGTGTGACCATTTGCTCAAAATGTTTCCGAGTCGACCACAGTGGACATTCGGTCACTGAAATTGAACAAATTGAATCAAAAGCTAGGTCAGATTTGGAAGAGGTGAATTTAAATGCAAAGAAAAATTTACAAACTTTACAGAAATATTCAGAACATATGAAAAGTGAAATGTTAGAACTTCAAATGGTGTCGAGAAGACAGTGGGATCAAATCGATGAACACGTCAAAAATATTTGTGATACTGTCAAAAATCAGGGGCGAGCATTCAAAAAAGAGGTGAAAATACTTTACACGTCAGAAAAAGAGAAATTGGACATTCTGTGTAAAGATGTTAATGTAATGGTGGACCAATCTCAAAGATTATTCGATGATTCATCAGATTTATTACAACGTAGCGACTCGCACGAGATTTTAGATCACTTACCTTACCTAAAAGTCAAATGTCTCGAAAGTGAAAATCGAGCTCATTTCCCTGTATGTAGTGTTACCTATCCAAAATTCATTCCAAAAGAAACTGAAATGTCAGTTGAATTTTTCGGAGAGTTGACAACCAGTTCGAGATCAGCAGAATTTGCTTTGTTCGGATCAAAACATGTTGGTAAAAGAACATCGAAATGGAGAAAATCAGAGAAAAAGCTTCGAACCATTCCAACCAGATTTGGGCTGAAGACTGCCTACAAAAAAAGACTTCTACTTGGTGTTGCTGACCCTTCACGCTCAACTGGCCTGGAACATGATAAAACTAGGATGGGAAATAAACCATCAGTGGAAATTCAGGCTTGTTCTTTGGAGTTGGGACATATTGATAAAAAATTACAGAAAGTAAAATTTGAAAATCAGGAAAGTTCATCTAAAACATGTGAAAATGATTTGGACTCGGAATTAGATTGCGAAATCTATGAGGACAAGACTGAAAGTGGAAATTCTAAACAAGTTGCCAACTGTACGACTGGTATTTTTGGGGAATTTTCCAACCAGGATAAAGATGAGAATTCAAACAGTTTGAAATCGTTCAGAGATTCTTTTACATTTCAGTTTAGAAAAGATGGACAAAACAAACAATCCGACTATCCAGGGCAGAACCAATATGATTTTAGATTCTTCTTGAACAGTATTCTAGAAAAAGGGTCAAAGTGCCGAAAACTCCATTTTAAAACTGACGAATATCTCTGGGTGTTGACAGTTACTCATGAGAATAGTTCCAAGTTATCACTGCAGGTTGAATTAGATACTCTGGGTTTATATAGAGTGTCCTTCTCCCTAGAACTAATCAACCATGACAATGATAAAAACTCCATTCGCCATCAAGAACAGTCTTGTTTAATACATGGTGTTTGGGGACCTGGGTTTACATTGAAGAATTTTGTTAATCTGGATCTTCTGGCTGATCCGAATAACCATTTCCTGGATGTGGATCAGCAATTTTTAGTTCGGTTAACTGTTGAGGATGATATTTATAGACTGAAGTAAAGTGCTACTGGAGCACCTGATTCCAGTCTGTGATATGGTTTGTCAGCTTGATATCCTTGCGAAGTATTCTCTTAAGTACAATGATATTCTTATTTACTATTGAATCTTTATCTTTTCATTTTGACCTGGGCTTTTTTTATAACAAATGACCTTACCCATTTTCACAGTAAATAATTTTTAGTTTGTAGCCTATATATTTTAACATCCACTCCAGCTTCTCCACAGTGCTTGTAAATAAAATCTTGTTATTTCAGAAGTTGATTTTATTAAATGATTCAAAAGATTAGATTAAAGCTAGTGCTGATTTACTTCATTGTACACTGGAAGGCATACCGTCATCAACCCAATTGGCAACAGAAAAGAAAACCCCGTTAAATTATTATTAATTAACGATATGAGATGAAAATTGTTGTAGTCTGGATTCTATATTCATTTTTATAATTATCTCCCCTTGATCAATTTTGACGTCTGTTCTGGTGAAAAGGGAGATTTTTCCACAACACATACAAGGGACAGTGATACCTCTATCACCTGTACATACCAATCTATAGATAATAATATATTATCATGGTTGCAGAAGCACATGTTGGTCTAGAACCCAAGGATGAAGAGTGAAAGAGTCCCATGAAGTAGGAAGGCTACAGCCTTACAAGATGTCAAATGAAGGTAGGTGATCGAAGTCTGTCAAATATATCCCTTATAGCTTATAACCTAAGAATAATTATACAATACAGAAATATCACGCAGGGAACAGAGGGTAGAATAACTAAATGGGGGATGGGGGGGACTGTCGGGGTTGAGATTCCAAATGCGTCGCGCTGTGGAAGTGCCTTAGGCGCAAGCCCCCTATTGGCCGAAGGATTACGATAAGATTCTCCCTATGAACATTTAAAAAAACATAGAATTAATTTGGCACATTCTGGCACATATTTTGGGGCAAATTACGTATAAAAATCAATCTTTAAAATTGTTAGAAATGAATTGGGGGTACAAACCAGTTATCTAGAGGGGCAAATACCCAGCCCTCTTGCTGGAAGCCGTCTCCGGGATAATGCTACGATTGATTTAGGCTACAGGACATACAAAATAATAAATGTTTAAGTTCTGATCTTGATTTAGTGATTGGCGAAATAAATTCCATCCGAAACTAGTAGCCTAGTTCGCTAACTAAGACTTCCTAAGTCGAGGAAGTGACTCAAAATGGCTTTTTACTAAGTTCTTGAGTTTTTTTTACATGAGGCCTAAGAACCATACGTGGTGTATGAGCCTAATTCATGTCATAAGATTGCAATAGAAACATGTTTATTGATAGGCCTATATAAGAATAAAGTATGAAAATCAAACAAGATAAACAGCAAGGATTGTGCACGCTTTAAGCTATTTCTTTCACTAACACAAAAATTTAGTCCGAAAGTTTTCCACCCGCTGCCCGAAAACAAATAATTAATGGGAGGGGTAGGGATAGCCATGTGAACAAATTTTCTTTTGTCACACGATATCAAGCTTCAATTTACAGCATATCCATTGTATAAAATTTCATCTACTTTTCCGAATGTTCTCCAGATTTCGGATGGTCTTTTCGATTGTTTCCCGAAACACTCGTTTTTAACACTGTTATATTCGCCACATCTTCGTCGTATTTCACAGTTTTAGAAGATTTGTGTTCTACGTCACTATTTTCATCACTGTTTCTTTGATAACACGGACTAGCTGGAGAATTTGGCGGGGAAAAGTCAGACGTCGATGGTCGTTGTTTTGCCTCGTCTTTTTTCCACTTCATTCTTCGATTCTGAAACCAAATTTTAATATGTCTTTCAGTTAAATTCAACATGGCGGCTAACTCAATGCGGCGCGGTCTAGAAATGTATTTATTGAAATGGAATTCTTTCTCGAGTTCTAGAAGTTGTCCACGTGTATAAGCCGTTCTGGTTCGTTTATTTTCATCTTCCACCGAAACTGTAGCTCCTGTAATAGACAAAACAAATTTGTAGCCTATATTTAGGATGGAAAACCGTATTGCAAAATATGAAAATAATTATGTATAATTTTTTATAGGCCTACTACACATTACTCTAGTGCGATATAAGATAAACCGTAACCCCGATTCTAGCCATGATTGATTTATTTTTGATGCCCTAAACCCTATTGGTAAAGGTTTGTTCATCGACGTTGGCGAAAGAAAGAATGACAAATATCTTTAATTTAAATTGAGAATTTTCTGAAAAAGTAGAAATAATAATGAATAAATTATGTTATACTACATATAGCTCTATTGCAGTTATCGTCATGAAGGCATATTATTTTAAAATATTAAATGCATAAAACAAGCATGCAGATCTTAGAGAGATTAGCTTTCAGGTACATCACAGTAGGATTTCAAACTTTATTTCTTTTCAAGAAATTAGCCCAAGTAATAACTGAATTTTACAATTTTAATTATTCAATTAGTCAACTAATGATCACGTGTCAAGCCACGCCCATCTTTATCAAATTTAGGAATAATAAACCCAGACGAAACGAAATAATACGGTTGAAAGTGTCTTATGTTATTCTTGAGGTGTTTAGGTAACCATTAAATTTCTGACCGGGATATTTTCAGAAAGGAAAGATAATAGTCTAACATACGGTGGTCATCTGTTAGGGGACGGTGTCGTGCTTTATTGTCCCCCGGTCAAATGGTCCACAGTTAATGAAATATTGTCATCATTTAATATCCTTGTTTAATGTGCAGATTACTGATGACGGGGTAGTTACCTCGGGCAACTCCAAACAGTTGTCGGTCAAAATTTCGCATAATCGTTTAATTTCTGATAACTTGATGTTTCGCCTCGTGGTTTCCTTCACTTGCTATTATCAGTATATCAGTCTCAAATTTAAGATAATTTTTAATCAAACTTCATTAAATAACCACAATTTTAATGAAAAGTGGAAAAATATCACTCAAAAAAACCTACTTTATCATCATCATAAATCTGTAATTATAATTAAATAAGTAAATAATTATTTTAATTAGCTTGTAAATATATAACTGTATAATACGTTTTTATTTTTTGAATGTATAACCACTGAAAGTATAACCAGTTATTAAGCTCACCTTGAAACTCGGTGAATAATATTATAGAAATTGTTTCCTAAATACTGAAATTAGTATATAATTGGTGCCCACTACTTCAGATAACTCAAAGACTTGGCAAATATTTTTCGAGGACTCGTCTAATAAATACATATATTACAAAAAAAACCTTAAAACAGATTCCCAAATATGGTATACATACAGTTAATATATATAATATAATATAATTAAACCAATGCATGAATCAATCTACAATTAATAAATGTCAAAGCTATTTTTAAAAGTTAACTTGTCAAAATATTTATTTTTTTTTTAAAAATAAAATGAATAAATTTGTAATAGACGGTATAATTTATTCTCCTCGACCTGACAACAGATTTATTTTGATCTGTTTATCTTCATGTTGTACAACCTATTATCTGACTTACTGACCTCGTCTACATTTCAGTTTTATAAATTAGCAAATTGATAAATTACATTCCACTGAAAAAAATGAATGAAAATCGCAACAGGACATGAAATGAATTTAATATCGAATCATAGAAGATATTTAAATGTATTCCTTATTTTGATATGGAATTCAAAATTTGTAAAAATATAACGTATAATATAATACCTTTCCGTTCCTCGGACGTCATATACGAAAGTGATATGGGCACGTTTATGGCCAGACATAAAATTTCGCTATTTTTTGAGAATTTAACTATGATTAAAGCCAAATTTGGCATAACTTTCGGTATCGTCATAGTAAAAGGAAATAATAAATAATCAGTTGTGAGTAAAAAAGATAAAGTGAAAATAGTGTCCATGTTTACTGTTGAATTCTGCATTATTTTCATAAATTCAACATGATCAATAAATTATAAAAGTAAAATAAGACTATTTCAGAAGCATACTATACCAGTACTCTTATATGATAACTTTTTGAAAAAAAAAAAAATAAATGGATCCCTAATCGTCTACCAGATACCTATGTCCTTCTCATATGATTCAGATTAATATTTCGGCGATTACAATCGAGGTTTCCATCGACAAAAATTTACGCCTGTATCGAACATATCAGTAATTTCTCGACAATCAATACAGGGCTTTCACTGGACAAAAATTATACTTCACGAAGAACTCACTGAACCCCAATGCGAATGAACCGATTGAATCTCTCTCTGAACCTTCGCCAACACTTCACTAACCCTCAGTTGTAATTCTGATTTTCGTTGCTGATATCAGCGAACAGGTGTTTTTAGCTTTTGAGGGCATCAGAAACATTCTTATTGCCAGCGATTGACTACTGTAATCAGACAACTTGTCATCTACCAACGACTACCCAGTCTGCGATATCAGTTAGCTGGAAGCGGACGTTAACTTGACATTTACTTACGACTATCTAGTCTGCGACATTAGTTAGCTGGCAAAGGACGTTAACTTGTCATCTACTAACGACTACCTAATCTGCGATATCAGTTAGCTGACAGAGGACGTTAATTTGTCATCTACCAACTACTACCTAGTCTGCGATATCAGATTAGCCTACTGGAAGTGGACTTTATTCTGTCATCTACCAACCAACAGACAATCAACTTACCTGGCCACTGCGCCTTCCACTGATGAGCGTGAGATTTGGTTGTTTTCATCCACGGAAATTGTAACTGATCCGCCGTCTGGTTCCCACCGCGATTCTGACAATGAGCCGGTGGGGGTACATCCATCGACAATAGAGGGTTCACATTAGATGTCTGTAAATGAGCGGGAATCGGGTTGTCAACACATTGTGGTCCATTTTGAGAAGTTTCTGTAAGTCCGTCTCCAATCTGATCTTGAGCAACACCCGAGGTAGCTTCCTCATGCTGTAAGAAACACTGGTCCACTACCGCCATAGTATGGCCACCAAAAACATTTTGTGAACAGTTTCTAGAATAGATACACGTTGAGGGTTGGGTGGTGAACGAACTCATCATGGATGTAGTGTAGTTATCCCGAGAGTACATTGTTTGTCCAAAATAAGCTCCGTGCTCCATCGTGAGAGATATCTGGAAATAAAATGTTACAGTAACTTTCAGCACAAACTGGCACCTAATTTATAATTGGTCAATAAAGGTAACTATGTGATGTCATCACATTCAAGATGGCGATCATCATGGTAGATTTGAGTGAAGGTTTTGTAATAAAATGGACGATTGGCCGTCGATTTGATGGCTAGTTTAATAGGATTTGGACAATTTGACGAGCTCCCATCACCAAGTCAGAGTTTGTCCAATTTTCATTGTGATTGTAATAATAACAAACCAATATCTGTTATTTCTGGAAAGCCGCCATGATGGCTACCGTCAATCGCTTACTAATAAAAGTTTTATTGGTTTTTGGAAATGACGTTTGCTGGCTGGCACCTCGTGTTCCTGACACTCTGTATTGGAACCTGTCCTCGTGCTTGACACCCGTGTCTTATTACAGATCTGAGTTTAATAGAAAGTAATCAGGGGGAAAGTGTTTGACATGACGATACAATAAAATTAATAACTGAACAAGTCCTGAAACGATATTTATCCAAGTTGTCTTTAACGGGACTAGCACAGAAACGTCTTCAAAACTCTCCACGTTGTTTCATTAAGTAATGAATATTTGTGTGGCTTAGGGTTAGTCCTATGCCTTAAGTTCTCTGATGACAAACACAAGCTCAAGACCAATTGTTTCACATCTGTGAATTTTTGATCTGGAAATCGACACTAATATCATCAATACTAACTTTGTCAGAAAAAAATTCACTATTCTTTTTTCTTCATTGCAATTTTTAGCGATCTGCTTGAAAACTATACCTCTTTCAATTCAGTTTCAGACCAAATACTGCTTTGTGGTCTCAATGGAACCTCTATTTGCTGCAGACATAACCATCAGAAATAGTAAAGCGACTTGGTATTTATCAAGCCAAACTAAGGATCTGGTCTTTGATGGTTAAGAATATTTCATCTTGTAATAACCAAAAAAAGAAACAACCCAAGATGCCAAACTGAAGAATATCTGCTTACATCGACAATATTTTATCATGTCACCTCTAAGTTATGAAAGTACAATAATATTCTTTCACGTATAAAAAAGTATAATAAGCATTTCTGATTTCAAGTTGAATTTATCTCCGGCTTCTTGTCTATATCAACTGATGTTTAGCACAGTTTATTAATTGCTTCGTGAATTGTTTATCGTGTTCTTTTGTCGTCTGAAGATTATCAGAAACATTTAGATATTAATTTTGATAATGTCCACAATTATACCCATCTGTCATGTACAACATCAGGCACGGAAAAATAGAACGTAATATTCCATTCATTTCATTCCTACTCCGTAATCTAGTCCCTCCTGAATATCCTAATTCAATTTATTCCAGAAATTAAAACTAAAAATTATATTCTGTATGAATACCAGTGGTTATGTTAGTATCTAACCGTCCATGTGACCAGAATAGCCCCACCCCCTCCCTATCAGCAGTATGATATGAGTATTGTATCTTTATTAAATTCTGCCTGGCAACCCGGCAATGTTGCTGCTTATCTTCCACCTTGTACAGGTTTCACTGATTTAAAGTCCAGCCGAGATTACTGTCTATTCAAACAAATATCTTGTAACAAACGGGGGTTGGCTTCTGTATAGAGATAACATTCATTCATTCATCCATTCATAATTTTATTCTTTCATTCAGTTGTTCATTCATTCATTCATTCATTCATAATTTTGTTCTCTCATTCATTTGTTCGTTCGTTCCTTCATATTTTTTATTCATTCGTTCATTCATTCATATATTCAATCATATATTTCATTCATTCATTCATTCATTCATTCATTCATTCATTCATTCGGGAATTGTGCAATCTCTAATATTCTCTTTCTGTTTCCAATATACTAAT